GCGTCCTGTCAGGTCACTGTGAGGCAGATACCATTCAAGGGCAATGGGTTTGGTTTAGCGGCTCAACTTTGAAACGTCAGCTCTCTCAGTCTCTTTGCCCTCTGCTAGGGGTGGGGAGCCGAGAATTCTCCTCCTGACTCCGGTTCTTGACGTGATTGAGGGACTTTGGGCTGGGAGCCTGGCAGGCTGGCTTAGAAACTGAGTCCACCCACAGAATACGTATCCCCGGGGAAACAACTTCATCCCGGGAGATTCAGCTTCCCGGCTTGTAAAATGAGAATACCCATAATTCTTCCCTCAAAGGGACCACTGAGATATGTCACAAACTATAGAGCTTCTAGCTCAGGGAGGCCCAGGGGGTAGAACAAACCAAAGAAAACCAAACTGACTGCCAGCAAGTTGAGTCCGGCTCATAGCAACCCTCTAGGACAGGGTAGAACTGTCCCCGTGCGTTTCCCAGCCTGGAACTCTCGTTTGTTGCTGTTGATTGGTTTTATTTTTTATATTTATCTTTTCACTTCAACAGCATTACTGATATTTAATCCACATACAATCCAATGGTAAAAACGAATTGAAAAGAGTTGTGCAATCATCACCACAATTAATTTTAGAACAAGACTATAAAGGAGCAGAAAGCCTCACCGTTTTCCCACAGAGCAGCTGGTGGTTTCAAACTGCTGACCTTGTGGTTGGCAGCCCAATGGGCAAACCACTGCAGCAGAATAGCAAGCAAAATCCCCTGCCAGATGGTGCTTCTCTTAAAAGGAGAGCTCAGACGGAACATTGTGGGCACCGTTGAAGATACCACCCCCCACCCCCTACACTGCCATCCAGTCGATTCTGAGTCACAGCGATCCTGTGTAGAATTTCCCAGGCTGCACATCTTTATAGGAGCAGAAAGTCGCATCTTTCTCCCTCAGAGCAGCTGGTGGATTTGGACCACCGACTTGGCAATTCTTATTGTGGTCAGGTGCCATTGAGTCGGTTCCAAATCATAGCGACCAAATCATATGCACAACAGAAGGAAATGCTGTGGGTCCTGCACCATCCTCACAATTGTCCGTTCCTAGGCTTGAGCCCATTGTTGCGGCCACGGTGTCAATTCATCTCGTTGAGGGCCTTCCTTTTCACTGCCCTTCCACTCATGATGCCCTTCTCCAGGGACTGGGCTCTCTGCACAGCATGTCCAGAATATGTGAGTGGGCCCTGACATGCGCTCTAGTGGCCTGCTTGGGGCAGAGGGCTCCCCTACTCTGCCTGCAGTCACACACAGACTCTCTGGGTTCCCCCAAACACAGCCTGCCCCTTTCCAACCAGAAGTCAGTGCCCTTGCCCTTCTCTCTACATCTGATCAGGGCTTCTCACCCTCCACACCTCTGCCTGCTTGGGCTGGCTCCTTCTTGGCTGTGGGGCTGCCCTGTGTGTTACAGGATGCTTAGAGGTGTGGCTGGCCCTTCCCACTAGATGCCAACAGTGGCTCCCCTGGTCATGACGATCCAAGACGTCTCCAGATGTCGGGAAACATCGGAGCCAAGAAAGAGGATTGGGAAGGGAGAGTTGACTGCGGACTCCCACTCCACAGGAAGCCCAGATCGTTTATCGCAAGGCACTGCCTGTGGGACAGGTGGGACTCAAATGCCACCCCTTTTGCTAAGGCTGCCCCTATCAACCTGTTTCATGTTGCCTTCCCTGCCAGGGTTATGTGCTATCAAAAAACATTTTGTTTTCATTTCATAAACTTTATTGCCTCAAAGCATCGCAGACAAGTCTAAAGGGACATCTAGACTGTAGCTGGGCACCTCTTAGAGCTGACTCATCAGCCCGCCGAACTGTTGCTTTTTTAGAAACACAGATACCATCCACAATTGTTCAGATATTCTGGTTTTCAATGGCTGTGGCTTGCTGAATTAAAGCAGCTGAGTTTGATACACACTCGATGTCATTTCCTTCCAGAATTAATGCGTCTTGCTGGGCTTGAAGATCAGAATAAGCAATACCTGTCCTCATGTGAACCCTCTGGATGTATTTTTCACCCAAGAAGCCCCATTCTCCCGAATAACCACATGGATGGGGAAGTGGGCACACACACAGATCTCCTCTTGTATCGCAAGCCCAGTGTCACTCCCTTGATCATGTTTTGTACGTGACTACAGAGAGTGACTGAGGCCAGCTTCTTTCTATTTCCCTACCATATGCCAACGCGAAGCCTCTTCTTTTTCTTTCCAAGGAGACTGAGGTCTATGTTGCTGTGACTGAAGTTGCTCCCCAGGGTTCCTCTGGGGCCGGTCACAGGAACTGTGGGCCCTTTCAGGAAATTTCGATGTTCTCAGGAATGTCACCAGTCTGGTTGTTGAGACTGGTCTCACAGTAGATGGACCATCAAATCTTTTCTTCATAAAAAAAACCAGTTGCCACCTATCATTCTGACCCTTGGCAACTACCACAGCCTTTCCAAGTCGATCACCAAGTCTTTCTTCCAATGCGCCACTGCACCCTGGTGCTTTCACACACCCTAACCACATGGTCAGTAGCTCGAGGCCCCACAGGGGAAGTTCTACTCTGCCTCTGAACCCAAACCAAACTCACTGCCATCGAGTCTATGCAACTCATAGTGATCCTATAGGACAAGGTTGAACTGCCCCTCTGTTTTTCAGAGACCTTAACTCTTTAAGGAAGTAGAAAGCCTCATCTTTCTCCCGCAGAGCAGCTGGTGAGTTTGTATGGCCGACTTTGCCCGACTCCTAATCACCACACCACCAGAGCTCCCAAAATTCAGTGTAAAGAAAACCTTTAAAATCCTCACAACTGGACCAATAGGCATCATCATGAGAAATGGAGAAAAGTTGAAGTCGTCACGGATTTGGTCTTGCTTGGATCCACCATCAATGCCCACGGAAGCAGCAGTCAAGAGATCACATGGGTAAATCTGCTGCATCAGGCCTCTGTTAAGTGCTGAAAAGCAAGGATGTTACTTTGAGGACTGAGGTGTGCCAGACCCAAGTCAAAGTCTTTTCAATGGCCTCATATGCCCGTGGGAGTTGGACATTGAACATGGTAGACTGGAGAAGAATGGAGGGGGCATTTGAATTGTGCTGTCAAAGAATACTGAAAGTACTGCAGAGTGCCAACAGACCAATAAATCTTGTCCTAGAAGAAGTGTGACATGAGTGCTCCTTAGACGCAAGGATGACAAGACTTCATCTCTTTTACTTTGGACATGTTATCAGGAGAGAGCAGTCCTTGGAAAAGGGCATCATGCTTGCTAAAGCGGAGGGGCAGTGCGAGAGGGAAGATCCCAGAGGAGATGGAGTAACCCGATGGCTGCAACAATGGGCTCACATATAAGGACAACTGTGAGGATGCACAGGACCGGTCACAGTTTCGTTCTGTTGTGCATAGGGTCTCAACGGCAGGCACCTGATCACAACCACCTAGTCATCAATAAGAAGAACTAGTGGCTCAATGGTTGGACACCGGGCTACTGACTAACAAACAGGGTAGCAATTTAAACCCATCAGCTTGGGAGAAAGATGTGGCATTTGGCTCCCTCAAAGATTGACATCTTTGGAGACCCGATGGGGGCAGGTCTATTTTGTCTTGTAGGGTCGCTGTGCGTCGGAATAGACTCAGGGGCAGTGAGGTTTTTCTTGGATTTTGTGTAATACATCACTACTGTTATG